AAAAAAAAAAAAAAAAAAAATTACTGTCTAGTCACCTGCAGATTTTTAAAAAAAGAAGATAGAAAAGTGAACTCCCATCCTCACTTCCTAATTACCTGGAGGCACCCTAAAGACAACTGGCCCCTCTCAACAGTTAGGACAAATCAGTTGGTAACTAGATAAGAAAAGGAGACCAAACATTGAGTAACAAATTCTCATTTTGTCCTAAGATAGCAGCAACTCTTTCATGAGAAATAACTCTAAACAATTCCCTGTACCACAAATTAACAGTGGGACGTTTATCCTTGACCCAGTTAATTAGAATACATTTCCAAGCCAGCAACAATATTTTATCTAATACTTTGCGCTGCAAATAGGTTCATAAAGATTGAGTCCCTTTAGATCTAATTCTTAAAAATATTGCTTAATCCTTGAGATATGGATCTCAAAAATCTTTTGATTAGTTTACATTTTCAGAAGTAATGGAAGAGGGTACCAGTTTCTTTTGGACATTTGGTACAAAAAGGGGAAAGATGAGGTGTAATCTTATGCAAAACATTAGGAGCTATATATAGGTAGGGTTAGATTTTGTATTGGGTTTCACAAGTGGTTACAAGCAAAAGTAGATCTAGCTATCTTAATGGCTCCTTTCCAATCCTCCTCAGAGGATTATTAACATGATTATTAAAATCTCCCTCCCATTTATGAATAGCACTCAGTGTACTGCATGGAAAACATGATTCAAAGGAATTTACTGTCTCTTACCTATAATGTTGTTATAGAGTGATAAGGAGGCAAGAGTTTTCGTTTTTTTCTTATATTGTTTTGCATGTGTGTGCGTGTCAATGATTAGATAGACAAAATTTAAATATATTTACTCACATACATCCATTTCTTTCAGCAGCATAGAACATATCTTGCAGTGTACTATAATCCATGCATCCATTTGCTTCCGCTTATCCTTTTCAGGGTCACGGAGGGTGCTGGAGCCTATCGCAGCTGTCATAGGGCAAGAGGCGGGGTACACCCTGGACAGGTCGCCAGTCTGTTGCAGGGCTAACACACAGAGACAGACAACCATTCGTGCTCACATTCACTCACGCATTCACACCTATGGGCAATTTGGATTAATCAATTAACCTATCCCTACAAGCTGAATGTCTTTGGACGGTGGGAGGAAGCCGGAGTACCCGGAGGGAACCCATGCAAACATGGGGAGAACATACAAACCCCACACAGAAAGACCCCAGCCTGATGGACGACCTTCTTGCTATGCGGGAGAAGTACTGACCACCATGCCACCGTGCTGCAAAAGTTAATTATAAATCCTTTATCAGTCAAAAATTACATATAAGTATGTATTTTTCCAAAACTCTGTTATTTAATGTGTCACAGAATTTTAAGTGACTCGTAATGTCTACTAATGTAATAATACATAATGTAAACACAAAAATGGCAAACTAATTTAATTGGTTTTTGTTTTTTGTTTTTTTTTAGTTTATAATTTTTCCCATAACATGTTTTTTGGTATTATTTTCTGGCTTAAGAAATATTATGTAACACTTGGGTGCAAAAATGCAAATTAATAAGCCAAATGCTGAGGACAAAATTGCAAATATTTCTACAGCTACAGTGAACTTTCCAGGAGAGCTGATGTATGCTGGGATGAAGGTAATCCACACAGCACAGAATATCAGCAGGCTGAATGTGATCAATTTGGCTTCATTGAAATTATCAGGAAGTTTTCTTGCCATAAATGCCAGGATCAAACAAATGATTGCAAGGACACCTATGTATCCCAACACTGCATAAAAAGCA